AGCTGATCTTGTGTTTGCGTATCATCTTCATCCAATAACGCTTGCAGATCGGCGTCCTCAATTGTTTTTGGTCTTCCGAAACGCTTCTTGTCCTTAGTGTCGAAATCACCATTTCTGAAACGTTTAAACCAATGTCTAGATATAGCTTCCGGAATGGAAACGTTTAAACCAATCTTCACAGGTAGTTTTCGATGGTGCATGTTCGCCGTAGGCCTCCTCAAGCAAACGTGCTTCAGCTGCATTTTTTTTCAAGTTAAAGCAGAAAAGCAAAGCTTCCCGCAAATGCTGTTTATTTGGTACAAAACTCGACATCTTCATTGTTAGAAAAAATATTTTTGCGTTGCAATATTTGTTGATATTATGACTGGTTATTGTTGAAAGATGTCCAAGCTATAAAAGAAACACAACTTTAGACATGTATGTCGACTACATGTGTCGTTAGCGCCATCCATGTGTGAAACCCAGAAACTTAGTTGCGCACCTAGTAAATGCATAAATGTCCTTAATATATTTTAAAATTAGTATGTTTAAAATGTTAATTTGACAGATTTTATACTGTTCTTATTTTGTTACATACGAAATTATAACATAAATCCAATATTATTATAGGTTAATGTTTACTACACGTGAGATTACTAATATTTCTTTTCATTAATTTAATATCAGTAAAAGTGTAACAGATCATTTATTCATATATTGATATATAAGGAAAATGATACGCGTTAATCATTAAAATAATAATTATGTACCTATCGACCTAACCTATCGACTTTTATTTTTTTATTTCTTTTGAGGACAAAGTATCACCTCACGTCGCTATGAAGCTAATCCGATTACTGTTGAGACAGCTTTTGCTAAAATCTGATTAAGTTAGGGAATTTTTTGAAATGGGTCGATTGAGTACCACTGTTCAGTCAGATTTCCAATCCGACAACTTATCGTAAACACTCTTATGCCTGTATTCATAGTCAGGCCTTATATTTAAGATCTCCTTAAGTTCATCTTCAGATGTTCTACGGATCATTTTATTGGCTACAGAGTATCTGAAGATGAACTTAAGGAAGCCTTAAATATAAGGCCTGACTATGAATACGGGCATTAGTGACGAGCGTGGCTCGCGTGAGAGCTGCGTCCCTGGCAGCGACTGAGTTCTCGATGAGAACGGAACTCGCGCGGAGTTGTAATCCCGACAGTAAAGCGTTCTGTCGAACTGATGCACGATATCTGCAATACGGGAGATATCGCTAAGGGAAGCGTTCACTGCGGTGGAGGCTCTCCGAAGTAATCCGGAATGGTCGCGCAAACCCTTCCCTCAATCACCGATCGTATCGAGAATATGTGTATGATTTTATAGTATTTTGGATATGCTCAATACTTAGAAAATATACTGTTAGCACCAGATCATTCTGACGTTCTGTGTTCATTGAGCGATGATGATGGTGATAGTGATAGAGAAGAAGTAATGGAGAAGAACGCTCTTTTCCTCTTTTTCTCTCCCTCTGACTTTTTTTGTTACACACACACACACGCACGCACACGCCATACACGCATACACTGTAGAGAGAGTTTAGAGTCGGAAAATGCTACGAAAGTGACGAACCGTATTTGGAAGCCACTTAAAATGCCGGGTGTAAATACGAAGCAATAATAGTCGTTATTTACTTTTGAAGAAAAATTAAAATAGTCCTCAAATCTATTCTCGAGTGCAGTGATAAAAATTGTTACGACGCCTCCTAAAAATCTCAGATTTTTGTTAAGTAGCATTCTCATTCTCAATTTCAAAGAAAGAAGAGTTGGCATTAAAATGCCATAGTAGCATTCATTTTCACTCTGCAATCGGTCTAAAGCCCATTCTAGAATTGCGTGAACGTGGATGTAAGTGGTTGTAAGTGATTACGACAACCAATCAGAGTAAAGCAATCAGTGAATAAAACATTCGGATTGATTGACTCTTACGTTCACGACTATGCTTACGCAATTGTAGAATGAGCTTAATGCTGACGCAATGGGAGATAATACGTCGATACACTCTTCTGAATAATTTATTTCTACCTCTTTAAAAAGAGCGTTTGAATATAATTTTAATATTAACTTATTAAGCTTTTCTCGATGTACTAAAAGACTGGATATCGCATCGAATAACGAATTCCAGCGTGTAGAAGTTGAATACTTTAAACTTTGTCCTAAGAAATCAACAATTATCTTTGACGATTTTGGTTTTCGAGACATATTTCATAACATCGTGCATTTTCCCATTGCTGTATGATGAATTTTTGATGCAATAGAATTTTGTTTCAACGCTTTTGTGAAGTCCGTAGTTGCCAACAAGCTTGCACATCTTAAGTGCTTTCCCAGATAGCACAGAGAAGAACAAAAGTTTCTAAAGAATGTATTTTAAAGAGTACATAAAGAATTAGAGAAATGAATATCTAAAGAGTTCGTGAAGAAGTAACCACAATAAGTTCGTTTTGAAGTATTCCTTAGAAATGCATTGTAGCGAATACTTCGCGACTTAGTTCTTAGAATGCTCTGAGAAGTCGTGAGGAATTACAAGTGTTTTGTTTGTTACAATAACATTTTGCGCCTGTGTTCAGCACATACCAGTGAGTGCATAATAATTGATTTATATAGTTACATATAAATTGTTTAATTTATATATAACTATGTACTTATTAGTCACAATTATGTATATTTCATGGAATTAATTATATAATTTTATATAATTAATAAATATAAATTTATATAAAGAAAGGAAATGAAGTGTTAAGATAGCTTTTTCATACCCTACTGAAAAATTTCTGTTGAGATAAGAAGAGAATTCCCAATTCAGTTCTCAGTTGAATTCTCTATTGAATTCTCAAATGCCGTTTCCGCAAAAATTCGTATGTAAGATCTCAATTGAGGTATTTGTATCTGATGAAAATAATTTATTGAAAATATAATGAACTTTTGCTGAAATGCTTTTGAAAAGCATTCACAATTTTAATCCAATTTCATTAAAATTTCATTATAATTTCATTAATATTTCGATAATATTTTATTAAGAGAGTAGACAAATTCAGTGAAAAATTATTATTAATTAAAATATTTAGAAAAGTATAATGAAGTATTATTTTGTCTAAATAATAAAAAAAAACTGGCATTTTATATTTTGTGTCGTTTCATTTATTCGTGAGATTCGCGTGGGATTCGATCTCGTGTCACACGGTCACCATCTTTAGATGACTATGCGCTGTTCAAATGCCTAACCTCAACGATCGTACTGGAACTAATAATGCCAATGCGCTGTAACGATATCGTGGTAGATT